TGGATGCACAAACAGTCCACAGGATGGGCTTTCTGTGATTGACTGAAGTGTGGCTATTGTGATTGGCTGTAACGTAGCAACCAGCTCAGGAAGATAGCCTAACATTTACGATTTCAGCTTAGCCATAGGAATCCAGGTGTGGGAGTACAGCTGCCATTTTAGGCTCAAATAGTTAAATTTAACAGAAAAAAACAACACTTTTAGAGGTAGTCAATGAATTATTAATAGATTTTTCTAAACATAATCCAGTTATTTAAATTAGTAACAGAGCATCTCTAAAAACTGAGGAATTGACTGGGCTACATTAGTGGGTTTCACAAGTTCTACAAGTACTTCTTACGTTTAAGTTGGAGAACCACTTGCCTACATCAATGGCTCAAATGTCTGCTCATAAGCAAGTGCACGATTGGCTGTCTCAAAGTCACCCGTAAAACATTACAAATCCTCATTCCACTTCCTCACATCTCATACTCAATTAGGTACAGGGCATGAATGTAAAAGTATGTGAGTGTGTGTAGCTTCCCAGGTGCACCTAATGCATAATGAAGTTTAAGAATCAATACCCTAAGTCAGTGGCCCTCAAAGTGTAGTTTTCAGACCAGCAGTATTGGCATCAGTCACTCAAGAACTTGCTAGAAACTCTGACACCAGCCCAGACATACTGAATCAGAAACTCTGGGGATGGGGCCCAGTGATCTGTTTTAGTAGGTTCAAAAGATGATTCTGATACACAATAAACTTTGAGAATCCCTGCTCTAAGTGATCTGTCCTCAATTAAGAACATGTGAAACAAATCAGAATTCTATGGAGAATACTACATAATAGAGACAGAATTAACTAATGTACCCAAATACATTTCTTGGAGATGGAAACTCTTACTGTCCAAATCCACAAATCCGGTCAAGGTGTCTTAATTACCCAGAAATCCCAGCCAGTGGGCATTCATAGGAGCTCGAATTTAGTCAGAATGACTGGTGAACAATGAAAATGCCTCCTGAAAAGCACTTACTTTGAACAAAATGTAAAATCCACAGTCAAAGCTAATGCCAAGAAATCAGTCAGTGGGAAGGCAAAATGGACTGGAAATGGAGTCAGCAAGTGACACAGTGCTTAAGGCTCTAGACTCTCTTCGATCACAGTTTGAATCTCAGAGCCAGCGACTTAAAAATCATGCTAGACGTGTGTGTGTGTGTGTGTGTGTGTGTGTGTGCGCGCGCGCGTGCGCGTGCGTACCCAAAATACCCAGAGGAGAATGGAAGAGAAAAAATTGAGTCTTGGCCATCTCCCGTGGGAAGTTATTTTTCACTTTCCCTCTCTGTGTCTCTCTCCAGCTAGGGCACATACATTATGGCAAAAAAAAAAAAAAAAAAAAAAAGAAGAACTGGAAATGTTTAAGAAAATAGTGACTATTATTTAAGGCATTCCCACTGTCCTGTATTTTCTATGATTACTTAGTGCTTACAGGGGTTTCTATGATTACTTATAAAGATAACCACTTAGGGTTCTTTCCTCAGTTCAAATAAGGGATTTCTGAAGGTCAACAGAGGGAAGAAATGAATTCCACCAGGTACTTAGAAATAAAACTGAACTTGGAGGTTAAGAAACATACGTCACCTTTCCACAGAAGTGAGGTAGTGATTATGGTCTCCCAGCTTTCACACAACTTCTCAGATCACTCTTCAATGTGATTGATCAAATACTTACTGAGTACCTATTATGTACCAGAAGTCATTAACACTGCCCCCAAATTCTAAATATTAAGACTCTTTGTTTAAAAAAAGACAATGATTCAGGGACAGAAGGGGGCAAGTGGTTAAGGTACTGGACTCCCAAGTGTTGAACCACGGTTCGAGTCCCAGATGCAGTGGCTTGAAACACACCGGGCACGTGCACGTGCGTGCCCAAAATCCCAGGAATTGAATGGAGGAGAAGGTACTGCAGCCTAGCCATTCTTATTCTGTCACATAAAGCTAAAAATACATATTACTACATAATAGAATGAACACCAGCATTTGGGATAGTATACACAAAATAAACAAATAATTTTCCCTACCGGATACTGTAATTATAACAGTAGGCTTATTTTAAGAACTATTCTCTTATAATCTGGTTCACTGATTAGGGGAAAATAGAAAATCACTTCAATGTCAGGACACTTTTTTTTCTTTCATTTTAAATTTGCTATAGGGTATGTGTGCTCACCAGAGACAGAGAAAGAGAGAAAGCGAGAAAGCATCCCCCAGGGAAGATGACCAGCCCAGGCCCTTTTCCATCATCCTCTCTGGATTTTGGGCATATATGCACATACACACACACACCAGTATATTTTTCAAGCCACCGGATCCAGGACTCATTTGTGCAGTCAGCTCTGTGGGATCCAGCCACCTTAACCACCACGTCACCTGGATGGCCTGGGCATTTTCTATTTTATAATCTGATCTTTAGTTTCACAGACTAAAGTTAAATCATAAAATCTTACAGTACTCTGAAGAAAATCTGTTTTATTATTTAATTTTGGTTAAGAGCATGGCGTTGAAGTAAGATGACATGAGGTTTAAGTACCAGCTCTGCTATATCCTAGCTGTTGAGACCTCTCTTGAGTCTATTTGATACTTCTTATACAGAGTTGGTGAGAGGATTAAATGAAAGAATGTTTTCTCTTTCACATTTTTTCATTCCACTAGCCGTAGAACTTCTACTTTTTCAGTTTCTTCTTAGATGTCATTTTATCTATATAACCACAGTATTTCATGTCCCCATGGAAGAAATCACTAAACATTTTATATTTTTATGAGTCTTTTATCACTGTATTAACAATTATTTTCAAATCTCTTTCCTTTGTCAGACTGTATGTTTCTGAACAGCAAGAATCTCAGCCTTCCAGACTGCAAAAATGAACTAAAAAATTGTGTGATAAAGGATGCTGAAGATTGAATCCTTGCCTAGACGCCATGGGCAAGTCTAAGGCAACACCTCTATAGTAATCCAAATTCTTATCACCTAATAAAATGGAAGCAAAGCTATTACCCAGATATCGCTGTTCTCAGTCCCTAGGGAATTCATTTCTATGACCAAGTCCACTAATCCCTGTGGATGTAGAAGTGGCACAGAAACTAACCAGAAAGACAACTAGTCCAGGAACTAGTTGGTGTAATGGCTATGTCGCTGGACTCCCACGTAGTCAACCATGGTTCAAGCCCTGGACCCAGTGGCTTAAACTCATGCCAGGCGCGTTCGTGCCCAGGGTCCCGAGAGGAGAATGGAGGAGAAGGGATTACAGCGTGGCCATCCCCACTGGGGGGTGATTTCTCGTTTTTTTGTCTCTCTGTCTCTCTCTGTCTTTCTGGTGAGTGCACGCGCCCTACAGCAGCGAAAACCTCTCCAAAAAAAGAATTAAAAAAAGACAACTAATCCAGAAGAATATTGAGTCATGAGAAAATTCATGACATATTTCTGTTTTTCTATACATAAATGCACCATGCCTTTTTCAATGACTCAATATTTATGTTTACCTTACTTATCTATACAACCTACAAATTCCCCCAATTGTGAGTACTCTAACCCATAAATTGTGATAATGATCAAATAGAATGAAATAACACTGACTGATCCCACCAAGAGTAAGTTATTTAAAGACTCATAAATATCTCTTCCATGTTTTCTGTTCCTATCTATTTTTCCTTTTATAACCACCTTCCCAGCATATATCAAGCCAGATAAAAAGGAAAAAAGGACTAACAGAAGGGTCTTCAAAGCCTACCAAACTGGAATCAATGATTTTGAGATAAAAGCTACTGTATTTCTGAACTCAAAATTTAAAATAATCAGAGTTCCAATTTACGAACTCAACCTTTCCCATTACTTACAAGGGTTAATATACCTTATAAAAATATTAGATGGGCCACAAACTAAAACAACAGAATGTGGGTGGGAAAAAAAATTCTTCCTAACTATAAAAGGACTTAGAAGCATACACTTATACCAAGAGAAAGAAATAAATTTAAGAAATCTTACAAAGAAACAAAATCTAAGAATACTGGCAAACCAGAGGTTTTAAGGTATGTGTCCAGTCTTTCGAGATTAGTAGAAAACACACCCTTTCAGGGGGCAGAAATTTTTTTACCAATAAACTTTATTTGCCAGATCAAATATTTCATCAGCTTATAAAAAGTGCCCTAATATGAATGCCATGGTTGAAATTACTCTGACAAAGTACATAAACACTAAAAGATCTTATGAGCTTCCAAAGTAACTAACTCATGCCACAACGAAGTTCTTAGTCAGAGAACAATGATTACTAATAACCCTTAAACATTCTCAGAGTTAAAAAAGCTTGCTGTCATACTCTGTGGTGTAGAATTTTTTCTATTTCGGGGCCAGCAGGTGGCACAGTGGTTAAAGGCACTGTACTCCCTCACAGCTGACCACAGATTGAATCCTGGACCTGGCAGATTGCTTTCTTACTTTCTCTCTCACTCACTCACCCTGTCCCTCTCTGGTCAAACTTTAAAAAATAAAGTTAAATAAAAATAATTCTTTAAAAAAAAGAATTTTTGCATTTCACTGAGAACTTTCTCAGTATGTCAACCAATTACTAGGATGTTCCTTAAGGAAAATTATAATTGACTTGCATACACTGCTCCCTAATTTGATAGTGCAGTATCAGTAAATACTGTTATCATCAATATACCCAGATATATGCATATATATCCACAAACTACAGCCGAGTATATGCAGGCACATCTATCTGTGTATGTACCTAGGAAACATCCAGAATACTATATGATACAACAGTGGTTATCTTAAGGTAGTAGGATTAAAGGTGATTTTTATTTCTCTTTTACAGTTTTCTAAATAACCTAAGTTTTATTTTTCAGTAAATATGTTATTTTTTTAAATTAAGCTATTTGACTTACGAATAAGTGAGATATAAATTTTCAGTGTGGAAGTAAATGAGAATTAAGTCCTTAATATAGACTCAACACAGCAATCACACTCACCTGCTTCATTACACAAGGCTTTCAAATCTGCTCCAACATATCCGTGCGCACTATTTGCCAGCTGTAGCAGTTCACTTTGGGTGAGCAAATGTGGGACCCTTCGAAGCAGTTTCTGTAGGATGTCTAGCCGGTCCTGAGCATTAGGGACTCCAATCTCAATTTCTTTATCAAATCGTCCCGGTCTTCGAAGTGCAGCATCCAAAGCATGAGGGCGATTTGTGGCCCCAAGGACCACCACTTGACCTTCACTTCCTTCCTAACAAAATAAAACGGAAACAAATTACAATACATTTTCTAAAGGTTATAAAACAAAACAAAACAAAAGGTGGCTGTGGGAAGCAGGTACTGGTACAGAAATAAGGATGGATCTAAGGCCAGGCTCCTATGTTCCAGCCTCTGTGTTTTTACTATCCATCTATCAGAAACAGATTTTTATTGCAAATCTATTGCTTTCACTATGAATTTTTCAAAGCTCAACCTCAATTCTTTCTCCCCTAGAAAATTTTCCAATATTTACCTCTCCATCTACTTCATGTGATGTCTCCCTTACTTTTATCCTTAATTCTGCCACGCTCATAAATATTAACAACATTCTCTGATACAGTTTGTTTTAAGTAGTCCTTTTCCCCTACTTGGAAGCAATGATCATGACATATATATTACTCAAATACAAGACTCCATTAAGAAGCTGTATGAGAAGTCTTCTTTAGGCTTTTTTTATTTCGATATTTTTAATGCCTTCAAAATATACACAATGTAACCAATAGCTGAGAATTGGCCATCCATGAGTACATGTGAATTTTTACTCTCTAAAAAAATTAGAAATGACAAATAGTAAAGAACTATGCTTGTGATCAGCCACCTATGGAAATTATTCAACATTCTATTAAGATGATCCAAGTATAATTTCAGAGATGAGCCTAAATGCAAAGTAATTTATCTAAGAAACTCAAACCTAATCAGTTATACTTACTGGATATCCCAAAAGAAAATGCACAGACTACGGTGAATCTATGAATTATGAAATTAGTAGCACAGATGCAGGCCCTTAAATATTCTTAAGACTATAACATCAGTGCCATGTGCTTCTAGTCCTGCCCAAAGTCAAGACCATTAGTTCACAGCAGGTTCATCCCAGTGGTGGAGAAAGGGGTAGCCGACTGATGCAATGACTGAGTTCCTCTAACACAGAGCCTTCCACCTATTTCCTACCACAAGAATCTTCCTGACTGTATAATACAGCTTGTCTATATACTGGCCTTCGGAGTAAAGATACAGTCACCCACAAACAGGGAAAAAAAAAAAAAAAAAGACCCAGTGTTTGGCATTTTGGAGTTTTTTCCAATTTTTTTTTTAATATTTACATATATTTCTTTGTTTTTGAGAGGTTTTTGCTATAGGGCTTATGTGCTCGCCAGAAAGAGAGAAACAGAGAGACAGAAAGCAAGAAATCACCCCCCAGGGGGATGGCCACACTGCAATCCCTTCTGCTCCATTCTCCTCTCGGGATCTTGGGTACGCACACACACGCACTCGGTGTGAGTTTAAGCCACCAGATCCAGGACTCAAACCACAGTCCAGTACATGAGAGTTCGGCAACATAGCCATTACGCCAACTGCTGGTCCTGAGAATATTTACATATATTTCTATAATAAAGTATTATGAAGATAGAACCAAATTCTAAATATGAAATTCATGTTTCATATACACCTTATACACAGAGCCCAAAGGTAATTTAATACAGTATTTCTGTATTTCAGTATTTCTATTTAAGTACAATCAATCTCACAAGTATGGAATTCTCCACCCTGGCACCATATCAACACTCAAATAATTTCAGATTTATGGGTTAAAGAAGCTCAACCTGTAGTCACATCTTTATTGCATATGGACATGGGGGCATACCAGTATATACATCAGTATCTTCCAAGGGCTGTTATTATGGGTCAGTACTCAGGGCTCCAATATACCAACAACACTGAATTCTCCAAGTCTGTAAGTGAGAACCACACCTGGAACATGACCATCACACCAAGGTCCTACCGCAGGACTGAGAACTAGGTGGTCAAACAGCATCCACCAGGTGACAAACCTTCTCACGTGGACTTTTAAAACTATTAGCATGTTAGTAAGTAATGCAGACTTAATACCAAACATGCATTATTTTCACATATTCAGTTTCTATCTATACAGTGAAAACTAGAAAGTTCTAATTGCTTGAATGTTTTAGTGGGCAAAGGAGGGCTTGGAACTATTTGATCTCTCAAATTTCTTTTGTTTCTAACATATTACAATCCTAAAAACTTTAGTCACTTAATAATCTAGCATAAGAACATACTTTAGTGACTAAGATTAGGTTGTCAGGAAAGTCATGAAGTATTTTTCTATGTAAAAATGTATCATGACTTTCCCGACGACCCAAGAGATATCAGGAATCAGAATTTTTCTTCATTTCTGTTCTCTGTTAGTCCTATCTCTTTCATAAGTAGCATATCATTTTTATGAAAACAAGAATATATATCTCATCAGAGAATATTATATCTGAGTAAATTATTTTTAAATGTTGTATAAAGACATTTTCCATTAGTCTCACTTTCTTTCACTAGTTTAACACAAAGCTTTAAAACTATTTTTAAATGAGTAGTAAGATTTACTCATGGTAGTTCCTAAAAATATCCCTTGAAATTCGGGACCAGTAGTTAGCGTAATGGCTATGTCACTGGACTTCCATGGAGTTGACTGTGGTTCGAGTCTCGGACCCGGTGGTTTAAACTCACACTGGGTGTATGTGTGTCCGTGCCCAAGATCCCGAGAGGAGAATGGAGAAGAGATTGTGGCATGGCCATTCTCCCTGGGGGGTGATTTCTCACTTTTTGTCTCTCTTTCTCTGTCTTTCTGGCAAGTACACGTGCCCTGTAGCAAAAATCTCTCCAAAAAAAAAAAAGAAAAAAAATTCCGAAATTTAACGCGAATCTCCCGTACTGATTTTTACCTTGGCTTTTAATGTAACTTACAACAGAAGAAATCCATCATGCTGTATTCTTTCATATGCTAGACAAACACGCCAGGTTTTGCTGTCCTGGAAGTTGCTAAGTAATCTACTGAAACAAATTATTTAATGGGTCCTTCCTGTAATTGCTGTGACTAATATTTTTCCCTTATCCTGAAATACCCTAAAATTCAGACACATTTAATAGTTTCTACATACATATTTTTTAATTATTTTATTCACTTATTTATTTATTATTATTTTTTCACATGGGTTTTTGCCAGAGAAAGAAAGCGAGAGAGAGAGCAAGGTGCCAGGTTCAGGACTGAAACCGTGGTCTGCCATGTGGGAATTCCAACACCTTAACCACCACACCACCTGCTGGCCCCTCTACATACATATTATTAAGAATTATCCACAGGACCAGCAGATAACGTAATGGCTACATCACCAGACTCCCATGTAGCTGACTGTGGTTTGAGTCCCAGACCCAGTGGCTTAAAATCACACTGGGTGCGTATGCATGCATGCGCAGGATCCCAAGAGGAGAATAGAGGAGAAGGGACTGTGGCACGGCCATCCCCCCTGGGGGGGTGATTTCTAACCTTCTGTCTCTCTGTCTCTGTCTTTCTGGCAAGTACACATGGCAAAGTGCACATGCTTTAGCAAAAAACTCTCAAAAAAAAAAAAAATCATACACTCTGGGCCAGCCAGTGACATGGTGATCAAGGCAATTGGATCCCACATAGCCAACTGTGTGGTTCAAATCCTGGACCCAGTAACTTGAAAACATGCTGGAAACATATGCATGAGTGCCCAAAATCCTGAGAGAAGAACAGAGGAGAAGGGATTATAGCATGGCTATCCTTCATGGGGGCTACTTTCTCACTTTCCCACTCTCTCTCCAGTGAGAGCATACCCTAACAAAAAAAAAAAAAAAAATCAACTCTTCCTACACAGAACCAGTATCAGCACTATACTTACTGAACCAATGCCATCCATCAGTGTTAAGAGTGAAGCCACGACCCGTTTTTCCACTTCGTTCTGAGCCCCTTCTCTTTTAGGGCAAAGTGCATCCAACTCATCAATAAAAATAATTGATGGGTGCCTAAAAACAAACAAGTAAAAATGAAATCTCTAATTTGAACCAATATATTAAATTTAGAATTTACTTAATAATATTACAGATAAAGAAACAGACGACTAAGCTGAAAATTAGATTAATAGAATAATTTTGGCCTAAATCCTTACCTCACCAATGTCACATTCTAGTCTATCTTCCCTCACTTCAAAGGCAGCATAATGAGAGCCAGCTCCATGGCCTGGTTAAGGCTGCCAGATCCAACATGGCCAACCCCACAGTTTGAGTCCTCGCAGCTTGAGAAGCATGCCAGGTGCATGTGTGTACCATTCTCATGGGGCTCACTCGCTCGCTCGCGCTCGCGCTCGCTCGCTCTCTCTCTCTCTCTCTCTCTCTCTCTGGCAAGCATTTGCAGCCTTTGATATAATTATGGGAACAAGAAAAAGGCAGAGTACTGTTAATGGGATGAGTCTATCCTGGCAGAACTCTCCCACTAAGCTCACAAAACCACTATGATCAGATCAATTCAGAAGCTGAGGCCAGATATGACCCTTGGAACAACTTCAAAGCCTGAAGGATATAAACTCTAAATACCTTCATTTTTTTAACCTATTAAAAAGTATAACTTTCAGGACTAGCAGATGGCATAATGGTTATGTCACTGGACTCCCATGTAGGCAACTACGGTTCAAGTACTGGACCGGGTGGCTTAAACTCACACTGGCAGCATGTACGTGCGTGCCCAAGATCCCAAGAGGATAATGGAGGAGAAGGGATAGCAGCGTGGCCATGATTTCTCACTTTCTGTCTCTGGCAAGAGCATGTGCCCTACAGCAAAAATCTCTATTAAGGAAAAAAGAAAAGACGGTAACGTCCAAGATGACCAGTTTTCCAGTAAAAAGTTGTGGATTCTCTCAAAGAGGAAGCCTCAATTGCCATGAACACAACAACAAAAAAAATAGTAAATAATAAGTTATGCCACTGGTTCCAGAGTCTTCAGGATTGAGACTACAAACCACTTATTTCATCTGTTTTCACTGGGCAAAAGAAGATGGCAATTCTCTTCATAAAATACAATTATGATTCAAAATATCAAACAATGGTAGAAACATAGCTATCATGTGAATAACAGTACATTAGACCAAGTTACAGGCCATATTCTAATAATTACTGCAATATTACAAGTAGACTAAACTCAGGAATAACCAATAAAAATAGTTCCTGAAGAACAAAAGATCTGTCCCTTTAAAGCAAAATATAACATAATAAAATTTTAAACATAAAGACTTAAAATATATAGTCTGAGAAAACTAAATATACTGTATATGTTCAACTACCCTAACGAAACTAAGTCACAGATCTATACACTGAAGCAAGTTCACAAAGCTTGTCAAACAACACTCTGTCTTAATTACTCTCCGGTATGTAAGTTAATAACCTATCAAACTTCTAAAATAATACTAGATAGAAATAGACTATAGAGAGGATTTCATTAGCTCTGTAAGCTATTTCTAGTGCTATCACTATTATTTTTGTACCATTCTTTATGCTTCGTATAAAGTATCTCACTTTGATTAATATAGCTTTGATCATTAATTCCAAAACATCTAAAAATAAAGAATACCGTAGAAGTGCTTCAGCAAATATCTGACGTAACCTTGCTTCAGTCTCACCATAGAATCTGTAAAAAATAAAATATACATAAGGACCATGGTTGTAAAACCTTTGTCTATAAAAGCTAATCTGACTTTTCAAATATATTTAGAATATTTAAAATTACTTTCAAAGATTTTCTAAACTTCATTTAAAATATTTCAATGCTGAGCTAGCCCCATAAGACATAAGTGCTTTTCTTAGGGACCTGGACCCCACATAGCCAACTGCAATTCAACTCTTGACCCGGACACTTGAAAAACATGCCAAGAGCATGTGTGTACATGCTCCAAATCCTGACAAGATGGAGAAACAGAAGATAATGGATTGCAGCATGACCATGTCCCATCAGGGGGTGTTTTCTCTCCCTGTCTGGTGAGCACACATATCTTTTGGCAATTAAAAAAAAGTTCAATGTGGGCCAGTCTTGGTGACACAGGCAATAGGGTACTGCTCCATGTTCCTAGAGTTACAGTGGAGGCCCTGGGTTCAGTTCTCAGGTTATTTAAACACAACAGGCATACACTCCTGGGCACATCCATGTTCCTGGTTGGCTAAATGGCTGGTAGGGGAGGACTAGGGCATGGCAGGACTCTTATCACCTCACTCGCATATGAAAGAAAAACATAAACTTTAAAGTGAATACATATATGTGTGTATGTGTGTGTGTGTGTAATTACCAAGCAGTCATTCTAAAAAACCACATTTGAAAAGTATATTTAATATATTGCTTATACTACTAAATCAGGCACCTACTTGCTTATAATTTCAGGACCATTAATGACAGAAACATAGGCTCCAACTTCATTAGCAACAGCCTTGGCAATCATTGTCTTACCAGTACCCGGAGGGCCATAGAGTAACACTCCTCTAGGGGCAGGAAT